GGGCCGGGGGGAGCAGAGGAAAGGGGGAAACGAGGTTTACGTGGAAAAACAAACCACCCGAAGGGGGCTGGGGCCTCGCTGCCGCCGGGCGCTGCTCCAGGTGGGTGTGCTGGCCCAGCCCAGCCGCACGCAGAGGCTGCGCATCCTTGGTGCCTCCCTACCTGCTCTAAACACTTGCCTCTGTGGTACTGGAGCACATTAATGCAGTTCCGATGCAAGCTGAAGCAGGGACGCTTTTTAATTTTTATTTTATTTTATTTTATTTTTTTTACCTTGTGTGTATGTTTATCCATACCTACCCCGATTTCTTTCTATACAAAACACAGAACAGGAACTTGTAGGGATTGCGAGATGTTTGTCTAAAAACAGGTTTCCATTTTTACAGCGTACCGTTACTTTAAACCTTTCTCTGCAGAGATGGCTGGTTATGTATGAGGTGCACGTTTCTGGAGAGCTGTAATATCTTTACCAGGTTTTCTCTTGTTTTGCAGTTGGGCCAAAGCTTCTCCAGTATGTCATAAAAGTCATTGTGCAGGCAATACAGTTACTGTACACAATGCTGAAGATAGATCAGCCATCCTATATTCTTCTTCAGGTATGTTTTGTGTTGGGACTAATTTTAGTAAAATAAATAGTACTACATTACAGGGCATTTTTGGCAGTCTCAGACATTGTTCTAATTATTTGAGAGCTAAAACTGGCCTAATCAATGGTGTAAACCTATATCAAACTGTTTTTTTGGCTCTAAACTTTGATTTTTCTGTTAGCAGCTCACGTTTGTTCTTCCTGTTAATTGTTGAGCTTTCAAACTTCATTGGCATGGATAGTAGTAAAGAATAAATCTTAACAGAAATGTTTGTGTGTTTATTGGAGAGGAATTTTGATCCTGATCCAACGGTAAAATTTGAAGTGCCTCCCAATCTTCATGGGTGAAACGGGCAGTTCTGTAGTTGGTGAATACAAAATTGTCTCTGTTCATTAAGATCCTTTAAAGCGATGTAATTTCAATCATTTGATTTTATTTTTCTGGTAATTACTTAGCGTTTGTCACTTAACCACAGTCTTATGCTATTTTTACTTGTTTTATTTATTAAACAGAATCCTCCAGGCTTACCTAGTATAGCTGTTGCCTGGGTAGCATGTCTTGTCTGGAGAAGCAAACTGATAATTGATTGGCACAACTATGGATATACTGTAATGAGTCTGAGTCATGGAAGAAATCACCCGCTAGTGCAAATTGCAAAATGGTTTGTACAGTAATTTCTTCTCCTCTTTATGAATTATGTACCTTTGCAGAATTCAGAAGAAAGGAAACCAGTGGGGAGGATATAATTAGCGAAGGGCTGTTTCCGTGAAGGATTTCTGGATTTTGCTGTGTGGAACTGCTTTCTGTTTCAGAAAGCACGTTCTATAAAACGCCTTTGTTAAACACGTAGGAAGGCGACTGATGAAGTAGGCAGGTTGCTTTTGTGTGCATATGCAAACTTTGATCTTGTTATTAAAATTTCTTTATATGTACTGGGCTTTTTTATTCTCTAATGCTGCTTTACACTCCAACTCATCTTTAAAGGTCTATTTCTTGCTGAATCTAATTGGTTACAAAAGGCTTTAAAGGCTTTCGAGTGTGGTGTTCTTAGGTCTTAGAGGATAAGGGAGTCATGCTGTATCCCTTCTCATAAACTGATACTGCTTCGGTATAAGGAGTCAGTCAATAATTGATAATTAAATTTCAGTTGCTGGAGGCAGTTGGGTTTCTTTTGGTTTTGTTTGGCTTTTAATTAGCGTTGGCACCGGTGGGCAGTAACTATTTGGCTATTGCAATTGCCTGCCTGTGGTTTCTAACTAAGAATTAATTTTTGCCAGGTATGAAAAGCTTTTTGGGCGTTTGTCTGACTATAACTTGTGTGTCACTAATGCAATGAAAGAAGATCTGTGGGTGAATTGCAACATAAAGTAAGTCACATACCTCTGACAAATTAGTATGTGTGTATGCAAAGTAAAATGAAATAACATAGCTCTGATGATTCTGGATTCAGAGGAATCTTACAAAAGCAACTTTCCCAAGCCCTTTCATTACCACTGAAACACATTAGCTCAGTTTTGTGATGAGCTAGCAGAGTGTGGGCACTCAAGAATCTTCATTACCCTTCATAATTAACGCCCCATTGACTAGAAGGTGGCAGTCCAGGTGTTACGGAAGTTTACTACCAAGCTGCCTATAGAATCGGAATGAGGCAGACGTCACTGCATTTATTAACAGCTAGTCTGCCCTGCAAATTTTTCTTTTGCAATCAGAGGGCTTTAAGATCAAAGTTGCTCAGGGACAGTTATGAAGTAAGTAAGTTTAAAAATCAGGACAATGATGCTGCAGTTTTTCCGGTTGTATTACACCCCTTGAATATGCACACAAGAAAGGGGTCCTTTGTTACGGGATTAATATGTCCATCTTGGTGTATTCCAGCAAACTTCAGGAATACAGAAAGTTGTAAGCATTGAAAAAGTCATTATTTTGCTGCATTAATTCACTTAATTACTTTCTGCATTACATTGTTGTAGCCCATCACTGTACCATATGCATTTTGTTACATCTGTGTTTTATTTAGCTTGTGAATTTATTCCATTACAGGGCAGTAACGCTGTATGACAAGCCAGCTTCTTATTTTAAGGAAACACCGTTAGAACTTCAACATCAGTTGTACATGAAACTTGCCAAAGACTACGAGCCTTTTAAACCACGGTATGTGTAAGTAAAGCATGCAGTTACAGTCCTTAATCTGAATGACATAAAGTTATTGCACCTAGTAATGAGAAATATGTTTGTGTGGGGTCACAACTTACTGAACATCAGCAGGCAGAGTGGTCTCTGTGCTCTGAGCAGCAGCAGATGCTGTGCAAATTAGCTTAATTGTCACTAGGAGGGGCCAGAATAAGTGAAATCATTGAACTGTGATAACACAATGGTTGGTGCGTGAAATAATAAAGTGTTTTATTTTTAAAGAAGGTGGCATAAGTACTGAGGGAATCTGTAATAGAATGTCTCTAGGGTGAAACTCAACAGTTGTTCCTGCTGAACTAGATGACAGTGATTGGATGCTTCGTTTATAGCATCCCTTCCTTTCGCTTACTGTGGAGAGCTTTCAAGATCTTGCTCCAAGTGTTAAACGTTCCTCTCTGGCTATGTGCAGGATGTCTCCTGTAGTAGATTTAACAGGGCGTTACTTTACCAAACTAATGCTTGAAAAAGGAGTGAAAGCCATAGTGTATAGCAGTTTCTTTTTGGAAATGCCCACCACAGAATGTATAGGTTCTGGGTTTAATTGTACAAACGTACTGTTGGCCTCCATGCTTTACCATATGTTTGAGACAGAGCTAGAAAGAGAGGCTGACTATTTTCTCCACTTGTCAAGGAAAACACTTTGTTAGAAAATGGAATCGTGCCTATAGCAGTAGTGTCACTAGGCTCTTGGTAGCAATAGGAAAGATGAAAAATGGTCTCTCTTATGATCAGGTATCTCTCTGCAGCTCAGTGCCGTGATGACTGTGTCTCCAGAGAAGTTGAGCAGCAAATCTGAAACAGCATGTTTGGAAATCCGTGCTGGTTAAGCATGGTGTTTCCTTCTGTGTTGATGGCCTGTGTTTGTGTAGTCCATACTCAGAAAATTCTGTTTCCGTAGTACAGAGTCTGTCAGTTCGAATGCTGAGATGTCTGCCTTTACAGAAATGGATGAAAAAAATGGCCACGTGATAAAAACTAGAGGACGGCCAGCTCTTCTAATCAGCAGCACAAGCTGGACAGGTTTGGAAACAAATAGCTTTTTTTTAATATTTAACCACTGTTTAAGAAAAGATGGCTGTTTATACTTCCCCACGCTTGACGTGTTATAGAGGCATGTTTACATCATCAGTGGCGAAGTTACTTTTTTCCTTCATTTGGCTAGAAGAATTGGAAGACAACTTGTATATAATATACCTCAGTGGCTAAAAATGAACGATTTAAAAATGAAATTACATTTTAGTTATAGAGCTACAGCCTAGAGGCTCAGCTTCAAGAATGATTAAAAGAGATTTCCTACTTCTGTTTTTAACTTTCATTCTGGACATATTATCTTGTATGGTGGCGTAAAATGGATTAATAAACTAAAATATTTACTCCTTTATTTCTGATAATGTGTACTACATACTTTTCTCACTTTTTTTCTCTATGAAAAAGGGAGCAGAGAGTAGAAACAAATCCGTTGCTGGTAACCATGGGCAGAATT